GTCATTTAGGTCTTCATGGTTAAATAACGATTAAAATTTCCTAGGAAATGAAATTTTTATTGATTTTTGCAATGAACTGATATTATTTATATTAAAAGAATAAAGGCTATATGTAAAAATATTTCGAATTTTTATTTACAAAACCATTTTGACACAAACACTGCCAAAAATCAGCGAACTTGATTATTATATTGATTTTTTTTATTTACAATTTGCTTTAACCGTATTATAGGGTTATTAGCATTAAACTGTATTTACATAAAATGTGAAAGAGGAATAAAAAGTCAATATTAAATTTGGTTACTCATTCCTATGTATTATTTTCACATTCTTTAAAGGTAGTAGGTAAATGTTGTCGTTGTCGTTCGAGTACATAGAGAGGACAATCTATTTATATGTTGCACTGTTAGTTCACTATCACACATAACACATCGGAGGAGGTTCCGTCATTAATATAAAATCATGGGTTATCTTTGTATGTCCGCCTCAATTTGGACATGACCATTTGGCCTCCTCTCTTAGTAAAGTTTGCACGGCAGCTTACTTTGTTTAATAGTTCTTAATGTAGAGTCTGAACTATTCTAATTCATTTGCCATTTTGTCATGATTTTTTTCTTAAAATATTGCTTTAAATCAGTATGACCACAGGTAGTTATGATTTCTGTTAAAGGATTATCACTTGTATTTTTTGCTAATATGCCAGCTTTAACATTTCCAATTCTGACGACCTTCTATTGTACTTGGCAATAGTATTTTAGGTAGTTTATCCTCTTAGATCCTTTCTATGTGTCATAGCTATCTTAATTGTTCTATTATATTGTCCATTTTTATAGCAATTTCAAAGAAGCAGCGGGCAAAATAGGCGGCGAATATAACTTAATTAGCCTCATGACATATTAGCCATATATAGAATAGTTTTCTTTGCAATATTTATGGAAGAATAAAAAGCCACTGGGAAGGAGACTTAGATAAAAAGCAGTTTGGGTTTAGGAATAAGCTTGGTATAACTGAGACACGTGTCAAGCTGCATTTGAGACAAGAATTTAGGATATTTAGTCGCCAACCTTACGCTAATGCTTTCCTACAGATAGATCAACAAAACATTGAAATAAATACTTACTTTAAATATCTAAGATGTTACATGACAGACCAACTAGAGCCAAGTAAACAGACCGATTACAGAATTAACGCAGCTCGCAAAACGTTTATAAAAATGAAATCATTCTTCTGTAACCACAACTTAAACCTAAAATTACGTCAAAGAATGATCAAATGCTATATTTGGTCAACGTTGTTATATGGCAACGAGATTTTAACACTGAAGGTGATATGATTAATTGCTTAGAGGCGTTTGAGATAGCGTTACGTAGAAGAATGCTGTATTAAATAGAGGATTATTAGTTCGCGAGTTGTTGGCAACTATTAATTTATGAAAAATTTTATACCTAGTGAATGTTCTCTCATAGAATACCAGTATAGAATCCTTCAGCTCACCATGAAAGATAAAATCGAGGGCTGTAGAGGAATCAGACGAAAGCAGATGTCTTGGCTCAAGAAAGAAGAAAATTCAAGTAAGTAAAGAAGTAAAGAAAAATTCAGTAAAGAAGAAAACAGAAATATGCAGTGCTTAACATCTATTCAGATTAGTTGAAGACCGTGAATCACTCTCCCGTAATAAGGAGGACCTAATATGGCAGCGAAAGAAGAATAAGTTAGATTTAACTGTTCATGTAAAACCTATGGATTAAAAATGAATTTTACAAAAACAAAATTAATGATCATTAAAGATATCTTTCCAGGTATTTAAGTCATAAACAATAAGCAGATAGAGAGAGAGAGAGAGAGAGAGAGAGAGAGAGAGAGAGAGAAAGGGAGAGAGAGAGAGAGAGAGTATAAATACCATAAAAATAACAAGACACGTGTTTATAAAGGTATAACAATTTGAGCAGCAAAAAATAGTACTAACTGACAGAGTAACAAATGTATTTTCTTTTTATACATTTTGTATCTTTGTGTAGTCTTAAGGCATTGGTTACATTACTGTTTATATTCGCGATCAGTTTGGAATATCGATACTCTATGCGACTTTCCCAACGATCTCATTACTTTGTTAATTTCTATCGTATCGAATGATTTGCGAGAAAAGTCTACGAAAGCCAGAAACACTGGTCGGTTTTATTCGGTGATTTTTTCTATAATCACTTTTATGTATGTGGTCGTTAGTGCCAAAATTTTTCCCAAAATCTGCCTGTTCTCTAGGTTGGTAAAAATCTAATTTTGTTTTCAGTCTATTTGTTAGTATTCTTGTGAATAACTTAATAGAGGTGGTTTAATAGGCTTATGGGTCGGTAATTATTGAGGTCTGTTGGATTGCGTTTTTGTGTAATAAAATGATAAGTGCACTGTGCCAAAGTTAAAGTTAAACAGTTTTTTTATGTTCTCTTAAAGTCTGTCTCCTCTAATCTTAACGGCTTCTATAGCGGTATTATCTTCTTTCGGCGTTTTATTTCTTTTCATTTTCTTTACTACGTTCCTTTTTCGTCTGTTAATATATCAGGCTTTAATACCGATTCTTGGTTGACTAATCTTTTTTCCAAATTTTCTAACTTTTTTGTTAGTTTCTCATCACGGTTTTGTTTTGTAGACTTCTGTATAATTCTGTACAGAAATCTTCTACTGCACTTAGTAATTCATCCCTGTTGAAGATGATATTTCTGTCTTCTTTTTATTATTTCTTTTTTGCCATTTGCCAATTTTCTGCTTGGAACTTGAGACTCTGTTATTTTCAGTCGTTTTTTGGATTTGTTCACTTTTATGCTTTTGATTGTCTATCCTAAAATATTTTTGTATTCTTTTACTTATTTTTTTAAGTTTATGATGGTATTTCCTTCTATTACTTTGTATTTTTCTTCTATATTCTATACATGCTTGTGTTTGGGGACTTATTTTTTCGTTACATGATTTTTTGGCAGTGTACCTTCTGGCTTTCCTCTATAGCTTTTATTATAATGTCATTTAGGGTGTTAACATTTGAGTCTGTATTTTTTGGATTCCGAGAATGCTTTTGATGTGTTCTTTAAACGCATTTATGTTACTAGGCTTTGTGCTGGTAGGTGCAGACTTCTTTTTGATCATGCGGTATTTCTCTTTTCCAAGGTCTATATCTATCGACGCTTTCAACAATCTGTGGTAGCTACCCGTTGAAAATTGGTTCAGGACTGTAATATTTTTAAACATTTGCCTCTTGTCAGTGATCATAAAATCGATTGAATATCGACTAATCTTATAGTAAAATTCTTTCATTTCATAGTCCGTGTGGTCACTTATTGGAGCAAATACTTGTACGATTTTTGAACTCTATATTTTACATAGTTTTAAATTTAAAGAAGCTACTCTACTTGTAAGAATCTTGTCTCGCACAGAATCCGTGGGAGACTAACAGTTTAATGTGAGATTTTGGAAATCTTTTCTACTTGTCTGGGCTAATACACTTTGAGGTAATAACATTTTAATTTTATTTTAGTGGGTATTTGGCGTGATATTTTTGTTGGAAGGGTCAAAGATGTAGTTAGGGAAAAGATGAGAAAATGTATAATGACCTGACTCCCTCTTAATAAGAAGTAGGGACGTCAGCGACTAGCATAAGGATCCTCTACCGGGATCGTAGAGGAGTGCTCTACTCCTGGATCGAGGAAGCAGGTACCTCGGTTTTGACTTACAATTACAATGAATAATTAAATTGTTTAGCACAGTGGTAAATAAAATAAGAATCGCCATATTGATTTTCAAGAGGGCACCTAAAGAAAAATAAACAGGTACCTCGGCTTTGACTTACAATTACAATTCCTCTTTGTAAACATGCAGAAGCTTAGGCATGCAAAAACATTACATCTGACATCTCTACATTTCTTAAACAATATTTGCACTCTAAATAAAGCTTCCCTCGTACCAACGGCGTTCACAAATCCAAACTGATTGGGCGCAATTTGTTCGTCGCATTTCCGGTAAATTCTTTTGTGGATGACTTTTAAAAACAGTTTTAGCAGATGGCTCATTAGGCTTATTGTCCTATAATTTTCACAAACTTTGCTCCTGGTTTTTTGGGCAATATTACGAAACTCCCGATTTTCAGCAGTTCTGCAGGAATTTCATTAAGTCCCAGTGTCTTTCTATCTTTCATTTGTCTGGCGGCTGCCGTTATTTCTTCTGGTAGAACTTCGGAACATTTCATAGATTTCAAACAGGCATTTAATTCAATTAAAAGGAACGTATTAATGATAGCACTTAAAAAATTAAAATTTCACATAAACTCAAAAAATTAATAGAAATGACAATGACAACTACAAAAATAAGCATAAAGACACAAAGAGGAGAGACAGAGGAATTCGGTATAAATAAAGGGAATGAAACAAGGAGATGCCTTATCAACAACGCTATTTAATCTAGCATTAGAATATGTACTGCGAAATATAAATAAAAAAAATCTCAGAACAAGAGGTGGTCAAATAATTGCATATGCAGACGATATTGCTGTTATTGCAAAGAACAGAAAAACAATGAAAAAAATGCTTGAAGAAATAAGAAAGAAAGGGGACGTAATGGAGCTAATACTAAATCAAGAAAAGACAAATATATTAAGATTAGGGAAAAAACCAATGAAGGAAAAATTTAAAATGGGAAGTTCTGAATTTGAAGAAGTAGAATACTTCAAATACCTAGGAGTTACAATAAGTAAATCCGGAGAAAGGAAATCCGAAATAAAAGAAAAAATATTACCAGCGAATAAAGCTTATTTTGCAAACAAAAGATTACTTAAAAGCAAAACACTGACTAAAAAAAGTAAGATGAGCATTTATAACACCATAATTAGACCAATATTATTATATGCAGGGGAAACAAGGACGATGGTTTAAAAAAGATGAAGAAGACTTAAGAATAGCAAAGAGAAAGATTAAAAAAACCATACTAGGACCAATCAGAACAGAGCAAAATGAATATAG